GGGCGAAGTGGCCCCCGGCACCTAGCGCAGTTCCAGCCAGCATTTGAGTCTTGGGTCCCAGGCGAGGAAAGACTCCTTTGTCAGCCTGTTCCTGGGCCCAAGAAGTGCTTTCCTGGCCTAGGAGTGGCACAGTGAGTCCAGGACGGGTTGTGAGGAGCTGGGAGGGTGCCTTTCCATGTGTGCTAAGCAGCTCTGCCTCCTTACCGGGAATAGCTGCCCTGCATGTTCTGTGACACAGTCTTGCAGGTGGATCTGTCCCGAGCTGGGCTTAAGGACCATCTTCTCTTCTGGGTTTGGATGCCTGAGCTAGGGGGACTTCTTTAGGAGTCTGTGCAGATGACCTGAAGGATGGGGGTTAACTTCAGGTCATGATAAACCTAGCTGGCAGACATTAGCTTTTACTAATAGAAGTACTCGTGTAATGAGGAGGGCTGGGCCCACATTCCTCTATTGCTCTCTACATGAGTCTTTGAGACAAGGACCCCACTGGACCTGCAGCTTTCCACTCTGACTAGACTGGCTGGCCGCAGGCTGCAGAGATCCTCCTGCCTCTACCTGCCCAGGGTTGGGCCAGTCTCAGGTCCCCATGCTTACCCAGCAAGCTCTGTACCACTGAGCCACGCCTCCAGCTCCTGTAGTCTTCACTAAGCACAAACGTAACAGGGATAGGGCGGAGCAGCTCCCCAGACTCGCCTCGATACAGCACATTCAAAGCCGCCGTTCTGGCCGACTTGCTCAGCTGGGACACTCACACACACAGAAGCTGACCACCTCCTACCTCTCCCACAGCTCTCTCCGGTCAGGGTTGTTTTCTTTTTTTATTTTTTTTTAAAGATTTACTTATTTATTATGTATACAGCATGTATGACTGCAGGCCAGAAGAGGGCACCAGATCTCATTACAGATGGTTTTGAGCCACCATATGGTTGCTGGGAATTGAACTCAGGACCTCTGGAAGAGCAGTCAGTGCTCTTAACCTCTGAGCCACGCTCCAGCCCCAAAGGGTTGTTTTCTTATGAATTAGATTTGGAGATCTGTGTCCCATCTTTTCACTGAACATCTTATAAATGTTATTTGAAGGCCTGTGGTTTACCTTTCTTCTGTTTTTTCCTGGGCCACCAGGACTAGATGGAGGTGGCCACAGCGGTCCCATGAAGCACTCACAGTGGGACTCACCTCAGAGACACCTGGCCCTCCAGGACCGGAGTCTGGCCAGCTAAACAGAGGCTCAGTGCCTCCTAAGTCACAATGCAGATTCCTGGCTTGTTTTCTGCCCTCACTGGGCAGTGCCGTCCTGCTGACATCCAGAGCTCCGCCTCCTCCTCCTCTTCCTCCTCCTCCGTTCTGCGTTGGCATGTGTGCTGGTTACTGAAGAACAGTCTTTCCTGGAGGGAGGGCTGCATAGAGGCACCCCGGACAGGCAGTGTCCCTGTGTCAGTCACGGCTGCAGGCTGAGGGCGGGAGCCAAACTGAGGCGCCCTGCATCCTCCCTTGGGTGTAAGGATGAGGAGACCAACCTAAGCAGCAGGGCCTTCCACAGTGTTGGCCTTTTCCCAAGTTCCATTCCTCTTGGGACTGTTGTTCTTCTTTAAGTAGGGAAATGAGCAGAGGACTGACGTTAATTATCCCGGTCAGATTGGGCTCAGCTCTCCCAACAGGACCCAAGGAAGGGAGGCCGGAGCCTGCGAGCTGCGATTTGTTCTTAGTCCTTTTCTATTTTATACCTTCCCTCTGAGGTCACTTTCCTGCCTCCCTCAGCCCTGCTTGCTAGCACGCTGCTCTGGACTCCATGCAGCGGCTCCCTCCTGCTGCCTGGGTGGTCTATCCCTTAGGGAATGTCACCTCCTTAATTAGTTTAGTGGACTCCACATAGATCCAGCACCAGCCCTCTCTGAGGACAGGTTGCCTGGCTTGAGTCATCAAATGGGGACACACGTGGCTGGACAGAGTCCCCATCCTCTGCAGAGAGGAGCCGGCCAACCCCAGGAGAGACTTGGGCTTGCTGAAGGGAGACGTTCCCAGCCTCAGGGAAGGTTCTCCCAGGGCCAGGCCATATAGCTGGGTGCTAGGTGAATCCGCAGTCCCTTCCCGGTGGCGCACGTCACCCCAGAGGCACACAGAGGTGGCAGAAGCGCTGAGTGGTCTCCTTCTCTCTCCCTCCCCACCTGCAGGTGTTCGAGGAGCTATGGAAGGGCGAGGGGAAGACAGCAGCCCAGATTGTGTCAGAACAGCAGCTGGAGCTGATGCAGGATCGAGAGGCCCTGGAACAGCTCTGCCAGGCCACCATCGATGGACACCCCCAAGCGGTGACTATCTCCAATGGGAGCAAGGTCTTCCTGTACAGCAGGAATGAGACAGCTTGACATCTGTCCACGGTTCCTGCTGCCCCACACACACACAGACCCTCCCTCCTGAGGGCTGGCCCAGCCCATCCATCACTATTTTAGTGTCGGCACTTGAAAGTCAAAGAGACAAAATCAGATGAAGAACACAGCTTCTTGTCCTGTGAGGAAAGTTCGCCAGTGTTTGCTCTCTGTGGAGTTAAGGGGGCAGTGTCAAGGTCCAATCCCAGGTTTTAATTTGGGGGGGGGGTCTGTCACTCTCTCCCAGAATGTCACTTACATTCTGTGTAGCCACCTCCACATTGTCAGGAGGACCTGCTGCAGGGAGAAGAGACCAGGGATGCTTCAGTTCTGTGGCCTGGGAGAGAAGGGGAGAGACCAGGGATGCTTCAGTTCTGTGGCCTGGGAGAGGAGGGAGACCAAG